ACACAACATCTCTTTGCCACTTGTCTATTCTTAAGAGTAGTATGGAATGATTGTCTCTTGAATCAAATTTATTTGCAAATAATGGGAATTTAAATGGCCTGTTTTCCTTTTCTCACAACATCTTGTGGAAAGAATCTTAGAGGATGAACATATTCAATACATTCTAATCCTACATACTATATGGCAGTATTTTTAAAAATTAGACTGGTCGGTCGGTCTGATTTCCAATCTGATTTATATGAGAAAATCATTTTGGAGGTTAAGTCGGGTTGAGCCGTTTCGAACCAGCAGTCGGATCAAGAATCAAAATCAAGTCGGGAACCGGTTCTGATTTTCAAAAATTGAACTGTTAAAAAAATTTTTATTTTTTAAAAAATAATTAATTTTTTTAATCATTTGATATTATGTTTTATCATGTAGCTTGTTAAGTCATGATAAACTTAAAATATTTAATTTTTTTAAGTTAACTAGAAATTTCATATGTATTTTTTATATTTTGATTATTATATACATATATAATTTTTTTAATTTAATTATTATGTCATTGGTTTGACCATTGATTCAACCCGATTGAACCATGCGGACCGTGAACCGCTGACTTTTCCGCTTCAATATTCAGTCCGATTCTAAAAACATTGTTTGTATGGCAAAAAAAGGAATTTCACAATTCACAAAATAGCACAATGATTTGCCCGATGAAAATCAGCTTCACTTCCATCTAACGCGTATTTGTCATAAGAAATGTGAAGATACCAACTTACCTGGTGAAGTCTTACGATCATCTCAAATTTCCAAGTTTCATGAATAGATTCTTCACCTCCTTTGATGGTTTCTTGCATGCGGGAAAAATGAAGATCATATTTTTATAAGATTAGCTTAGTAATTTATTTAAATGGAGAAGAGTTGCAAAGTCGAACCTGTTAGGATAATAGTCACAGGGCCATCCTTTCTTTGCAAATGAATGTCTTCGCTCTATTCTCCATTCAATTTGTAGCTTCATATCAAGCGAGAGGATCATGCTTCGTTCCATTTTCGTTGCTTGCTTTAAATTAATATTCTTTCATTTACAAGACACCAATCAGGTCACTCTATCATCAACGTAGATCTTTGCTATTAGTTAGATAACTTCTCCTAGGCCAACTTAGAAGCTTTTCCGGATTGGATAATTCTTTTTTTTTTAATTTTTTTTGGTTTTTTCGTTTTCATGTATCTATAGTATCGTGTGCAATATAGTTTGATCCTTTGATCCAAAAAAAGATAAAGAAAACCATCTAATTATTTGACTTGGTTAATAAATTTTGAATTTTCTGAATTGATTAAGTTTAATGGAAATTTTCCACAACATTTTTCAATTGTATATTTTTCATTTCCTTTATAGAAAACATATACGTTTCTACCTAAAAAATATTGCATAAAATTATCATTTTAAAGAGACCTTTTTTGTTCCTTCTAATAACAATTATTAGATTTTTAACAAAGATTGAAAAATCTTCGCAGTTACACTTTTTTTTCAATTAAATTATGCTAAATTTCAATATTTTCATTTAGAATACAAGAGAATTTACTCCTATTGCTGGACCTGAATCACAATAATTCGATCCTTTTTGTAAATAACAATAACAACATTATGATCTTCTTGTTATGGGTCCTCATATCAAGCCCATCGTTACTTTATTTGTTTAATTATAATGGGCCTCATGGCCTTTAGGTGTGCATTTGATCCAATCTAAAAAAGGGTGTAACGACGTCGTCGTGGCCGTGACGTTAACAATCGAAGATGACGAATTGTTCACTGCGTTTTTGGGGGCATATGGATGAGGCTATAAGCCCAACAGCAGACAAATCAAACCCAAAAGAAGAAACAAAGCTACCTAAATTAAACAAAAGGTTCATAGAGTCACAAACAAAAATTGTTGGTAAAGATTTAAGGATTAAGAGTTCAAAATATCCTTAAAGTGCACATAAAGAGTCATAAATGATCTATGTTCCTTAACCTTTAAGATTTTCAAAATTTTCATCCTGCGCTTTTTACAATCAATTCCTCCATTAGCTAGGCTCACATTAAATTTTTTAATATTTATTTATTATCAAATATTGCATGATGGGGCCCACCAATTTTTTTATATTTTTTAATAATTTAAAAAATTTCTTTCCCTCTCTCCCATCTCTCCCCCTTCCTCTCTCTCTCTCTCTCTCCCTTTCCTCTTTATAGTCTCTCTCTCTTCCATCTTTGCCACAAGTCCGGCATCCTCTCTACATTTTCCACTTTTTTCTCCATTCCTTCTCTACATTCTTTATTTCCATGCATGCATGGCATCATGATAGTTGACCTCATCTCCCACAACCCCTCCCTTGCCAACCTCCTCAAATGCATCTTAAACCAATGCAATGTTGATGGCCTCGCATACTTCAGCTACAAGGCCATCCTCGATAGCCTAGGCTAGCCATGTCCTTCCAGTCACCTATGTTGTCTCCAATGGCGTCATGACCTTTTTTTGTCAAATTTACCAATGTTTGGGTTGTTCATGGTTCAAGATGAGGACTAGAGAGAGAGAGAGAGGGAAAGGAGGGAGGGAAAGAGAAAGCAAAGCTCAATGACAATGGTTTGGCCAATAGCTCACAAGTCTTTGGTGAACTTATCACTACTGGCTCAAGACCGCCACTTCATCCATCCAAAACTTTACCTCATCACTTCAACCCCTACATTTTTGAGCTTCTCGACAAAATTTGGGTTAGTAGATGCATTGCATAAGGAGTTGAGAAGAGTGAGGTCGGCGACAACATAAGGTCAATAAGCACTAAAGCAATGAAGGCAGCATCATTGATGTTACCAAAGCTGAAAGGGAAGGTGAATAGGAATGGCATTAGGGGAATTGACGCTAAACGTATCAATGCATGCCAGATATGGTGGTGAATGTGGAGAAAAAGGCGGTGATGGTAGAAGACATGAACTCCAAGATGGACTTGGATGCCAAGGCAAGTTGAAACAATTTAAAGACATCAAGCTTTGGTGCACATCAAAAATGGGATTTAGATTGGAGCTTTGCTACAAATTGATGAAGTGCTCTGTAAAGAAGTAAACGAGGGATGAGCTCTAGATAGAGGAGAAAGTGGAGGGGGGAGAGAGAGAAGTGAGATGAGATTAAAAAAATATAATAGAAAACATAAAATGGGTCCCACTGTTGTATTTTATTATTAAAAAATTATTTTAAAAATTCACATGGCTCTTACTTAATAGAAGAATAACGTTAGGGTATAAAAGATCAAATTTTTAAAGTTGAAAGACAATATTGACCCTAAGTTGAGTTTAGGATCTCTAATGATCTTTCACGTATATTTGAGGGACAAAATTGACCGTCAACCCAAGATTTAATCCATATTCAATAAAATTATGAGTTCAAATCTTACTTATGATGTGAGGGCCTAATTGATGGGAAGTGATGTGCAAGTATCCATGTAAGAACTTCTTGAATTTGGAAGCATGCCTTAACCCTAATGGGTTATTTGGATTCAGCTCACATAAAATTTTGTTTATAAGAAAAAAAAAAAGGTTCATAGGGTCAAATGAAAAAATATATTAAAAAAAATTAACTTGAGTAATCTGGGAATGATGATATGAGGTAGGAAACCAATAAAAATATTGGTACTTGTTAATATAAAATATTTTTCAGTTGGCCAAAAGATCATAAAATATTTTTAAATTAGGTTATTTATAAAAAAAATACGTTTGAATCTTTACTTTAAAACCATATCTAAAATGTTAAATTGAAAGGTGCAGAAATTATTCACTTTATTTTAAAAACCACATCTTATTAACATAATTTTCATTAATAAAATACAATGTTGAATGTTGATTACTCTTCTTGAATTTTGTAAAACACGAGATAATATAACATCAAAAAGAAAAAGTTGTGGTTTCGATTTTCAAAAAAAATTTATTTTTTTAAGAAACACAACTAAAAATAAATTTGAAGTAATTTTTTTCTGAAAATGGAAAATCAAACAAGCTAATAATTATATATATATATATATATATTGGGTAACAAGAAGCTACATTTTTCCTCCTATTTCCTGGTATGGTTTTCTCATCTTCTATCTTTTGGATTTTATTAAAACACAAAGGCTTAATCTAGAAGTAAGTGCTGCATGCAAATTGCAACATATTATATTCTATACTTATCCAATAGTTTCACTGAATCAAGCTTGCCCTCTTATCTCTGGCATAGGAAAATTTTTTCCCCCATCTGTATCTCCGCAGTACATTTTTCCTAATTAACTTGTGCACTTAGACATATAATTTCCTTAATATTCTTTTTCCTTATTATTTCTGGTTAAAGCGTGAAGTCTGTAAACAAGAATTGAACTACATAAAGACAGTTTGAATGTAAATCAATCAATTCACCGAAGTTTGTGACTTATTTGGTTTGATATGATGAGCAGGTTGGTTTGATTTGTATGAATTTGGACCAAGTTTATTGTTTTTGTGATATATTTTTCATAATCAATAAATATTCATGATCATTGATAATTTTTAACTATTAATTACTATTTTAATGAAACATAGCTCTTGAGGACAAAACGAATATTTTTTAACAATTAATTAACACCTTTATTTAACTTTTAAAAATTAATGTTATTTTTAAAATACTTAATTATAAAATTAAAAAATTATCATAAACAATCACATACAATATTTGCTAATTGAAAATACTCTTTTACCAATCGTTCACAAATAACTAAATTTGAAAATAAATATAACAAAGTTCGGTTCAAGTTCCAAGTGACAAATATCTAAATTGAACCAACTCAATTAATTTTGCTAAAAGAAAAAAAAAAATCAAATCAATTTATGTCAATCTGGTTGGTTTGGCGTAAATGGTTCAAAATTCCCTTAACACTAATCTTTCTATGACCCTATTTCAAGCTAGTTAATTTGAAAATTATATATATTATATATACTTGATCAATAACGAGAATATATCATATATTATGCCATAAGATAAAGGATTATTCAAGCTCTTTTAGCTTCCCTCTGAAATTCACCTTGTTTCTCTTAAAGTAAAACCAGGAAAAGGATCACTGGTCTCGTAATTATGAAGATTAAGAAGAAGACGACAGATCAAATAAGAGAGAGAGAAAGAGATCATCATCTACAAGTTTGAGCAGCATGATGAGTGGGAGTAACCTCACAATCTGATCCATAACAACTAAAACCGTCCTTATCTTCCCCGAAGAACATCGGTCTCTTATCTTCTACCACCTTCAATACCTTCTCGAACAAGGACACGTGGCATGGAATCTTGAGTACTCCCTCTTGATGGAATCCGAATTCCTCTTCAGCTTCTCTCAGTAGAACCTGAAATGCTGGGTGTGATAAGTACTCCGTCGGGATTGTGAATCTCTTGAGCTCTTCTCCGACGCAGATCGCCAGAAAACCTTTTGGCACAACGACGCTATTGCTGTCGGAGCATGCTGAAACGACGTCGGTGAATGACAGAGTTCTTTTGAAGAACTTCATGCCTTTGTTACTGCCGCTGGTGGCGGCTCCGGCGACAGCCGCGGCAGAAGAAGCAGTTGCGAGTTTCTTCCACTTCTTGAGGATTTGTTGAAGTTTAACGATTTCTCTGATTTTGTTAGACTTCTTTGAATCCATTATTCGATGCTTCATGCATGTGGGTGGGGTGGTGGGGGCTTGGATTTATGTACACTATTTGTGCTCAGATTTATGATATTTTATATTTGTAGACTGATTCTATGTCGATACACCAAATTAGTAAGAAACTGAATACAATTTCTTTTTTTATGGAAAAATGATCATTTATTCTATAAAGTTTAAACCATCTATTTTTGTCTTTAAGTTTGAATTGGTGTGATTCAAATTTTTAATTAAAAATAAAAAAATTATCGAGATTAACTGAATAATTATATTTTATTTAGAATATTACTTTTTGTTAAAAAGAAATTATTTACTTGCACACCCTCGCTAGCTAGCTCTATTGTTTCGTACTAGCTTTGCATCATATGAAGGGATTTAATTTCTCTTAAGTAAGGTTAATTAAAAGTTAAATTTTATATATAGATAAAAAATTATGCGTGAGCCACTCTCTAAAAAAAATGAGAATTTGATCTTGTGAAATGTGAAAAATACTTTTAATTAAATCTGCAGGGTCTAATTGTTATTAAAATTTTGATAAAATAATAAAAATACTCCTTAATTTAAGAAAGTGAAAAAAATTATGGTGAGAGAAAGTTATAAATGCCTAAACCACTTTCATCATTTACTAAATCAGGCTTGTAAATTTCAAAACTAAAATTGTGAATAAAAAAAATTTTTGCTAATTAAAGAAAAATTGTGAAGAAAGTTATGAATGCTTATACCGCTTTAGTCATTTACTAAAATTTGTGAACTACATAATTAAAGTTGTGAATGAAAAAAATTTTGTACACTTTATTATATTAAATGAAGAAAAATGAAGAGAAAGTTGTCCATGCTTAAACCACTTTAGTCATATACTAAACTAGACTTGTAAATTCTAGAACAAAAAAAACTTTGTTACACCTTTTCAATTAAGAGGTATATTTGTCATCTCATTAATAACTTTAATGATAATTAGGTCTCTTAAGACTTAGAAGCTATTATCACATTTCATAGGACCAACTTATCATTTTTCTATTTTGGATGTATTTTTTTGTCATTCTTCCAATGTATTTTTTTTTTTAATGAATCAAACTCGGTTTATCTAGAGGTCAAACAAATTGGTTTCCCGGGATAAGCTGGGAAATAATATTAATTTAATTTAGTCTGATCTTAAAACTTGAATTATCATTGTATATTTATTTATTGGACAAAATGAAGCGTTAGAAGATCGTGGAAGATGCTCATGGCACTTTAATTTCCGTGTAATTAGTAAATTTGCATTTTTTTAAAAAAAATCAACAGACAAATCCAACATGCAACATGCAGTGGCCGGACCTCTTGATTAATTACCTCACAAACAGGACGTGAAAGTCCTTTAATTTATTAAATTATATATATATATATATATATTTTATTTTATTTTTGGTTGACTTCTCGCTTGAATGATGAGTCATTATTTCGCTTTTATTTCATTTATTGGAAAATAATATAATTTAAAGTCGGCACTTGATCTGTTCACATCTTATCTTAATCTTAATATTTTTTTTGACCTTCAAATCTTAATCTTGATATTTAGAAGTAGCAAACGGAGAAATCCTTCTGTAACTTAATAATTTTTAATATTAAAAAATTCATGAGCAAACCAAATATATATCAAAATCTATTTATTCTGCAAAAAATAATTTTTTTAATTTTATTTTTACCCTCCATTGGATGCCTAAAAATATTAAACCTCAATTAGGGGTAATTTTTTTTTTGTAAGAGATATTTTTAAAACAATTTTTAATAATTATACCTAAAAATTATATTAAAACTTTTATTTAGGAATAAAAGGAGGAAGGTAAAAATTAGAACTTCTATATAGGGACGGAGAAAAAATAAGAGAAGAATTATGTTTTTTCTTTTCCATCAACAAAAAAAATTATATTAATTACAATGATTAAGGCAAGTTGCAAATAATTAGTACGGATATAGTGTACCTGAAGTAATAGTTATGATTTTGAATCCTAATTATTTGATCAAACACACGAGATCACATGCTCCTATATCCACCACTTTGATTAGAGTACATGCTTCTTCAGATCTGACCCTAATTAATATAATCATTTATTGGAACGATGTTTAAGCTTTTTCTCTGTTCTTTCTCTCTCTGTTTTTTTTAAAAAAACTTATATTCTTTTTTTCCTTAATTGTAAAATCATATATCAAATATTTATAATCAAGAAATTCTCAAAAATTTATAACAAACTCAATGTTTCTCGATCTATTCTGACTTTTTAGGATCAATAAAATGATCAAAATATCCTTCTTGAATTAAATTGAATAAGACATATGACAAACTTAACAAGTAATGATAGAGGACGACAATTATATTATTAAAAATTAACTTGACAATATCAATTATAAGTCAAACACTTCTTCTTCTTCTTTTTTCTCTCACATCATTCTTTTTTTTTTTTCCTCATTTGTAAAATCATATATCCAATATTAATAATCAAGAAATTCTCAAAAATTTATAACAAACTCGATGCTTCTCGGTTTATTATGGGCTGTTTCGGATCAGGCATATTGGTGGGGTTATTAAATCCATCCCAATTAATTTTTTTCGTACTTTTTACACAAAAATTGTTTTATAGTTCTTCTTTTTATATCTCATGTGTAGTAAATTGATTTTATAATTATTGTAAAGAACTTTTATGATTTCTAATTTTTAATTTAATTTAAAATTTCAAAGTAATTTTCATACTTAATGTTTTACCTACACGTATCTTTTTATTTTTGCAATCCTATTCGAAACACTTAATTGGCCTTTTTTTTTTTAATGGATTAGATAGGCATTTGATTTGGGTGCTAGTAAAATCTAGCTTTCGTATGGTGTAACACCTATGATCTTCTGCTTAATATGTTATCCCATAAATAACATTTTTATCAAAATGTTTTTTTCAAGAGTAAAATACATTGAACTCCTCGCTATTTTTCATTAATTACATATATCTTCCATCCATATTTAAAACCCATATGAGCCTTCTTTAATATCAATAGTTACTAGACGCAAACTTCCTTCCATTTTTAGGATTTTATTTTCATTCATCTAATTGCTTGTTGAGTTAAATCATATATATTAGAACCAGATATCTCTCATAAAACAAAAATGTTATCTAAAAGTCATTTAAGATTATCCAAAAAAATGTAATGATATCCTTTCTTTAACATTTTTATTCATATTATAATTTTTGTAGTTATGAAAATTTATTTACTTAGTGTTTTCTAAAAAAATAAAATAATTAAGTTGGCTAAAATAATATTTCAAACATATACGTATGTTAACTTAATGAAATAGAGATTTAATATAATTAAGAATAAATTAATCAATACAATTTATGTTTATTTTTCTTTAAATTTTATAATTTTAAACAATATTTTAAAATTATTTATTTAAATATTGTAATACTAAATTATTTAAAGATCCTTAAATTGGGGGGAGAGAGTGGACAATTAGATTATAAGGTAAATTAATAATTTAAATTTTTTCACATAATTAAATGAAAAATTAAATATTTTAGAATCTTTAACAGAATATTCTTAACATTGTTAAAAATTAGATTAAAGTGCAGGTTTTGTGAACAGAAAGAAGGTCTATATAATTTTAGTAAACTAGAATGGAGAGAACTGTATTTTGCTCTCTTTTGGTATTGATTTAATTTTTTTTTTCATGAAAATGAGGCTTTATATTCGTTTCAATAGTTTTTTTTTTTAAGTTCAAAGCAAATGCAAAATCATATCCTATGATTTTTCAACTAAATAATAAGGCGGCTTCATAATCTCATCATGGGCATTATTCTACATCATATCATGTGTCTAATATTTGTGTGAAAGCAACTGCCGCCAGACGCTTGATTCAACTAATAAGCGAATTTTATCAGCTTAACTAAAAAATACAAAGGATCTTAATCCAAATTAGTATAGGTCACGTTAAAGTCCTCTTAGCTCAACATGAAGCAGGCCTGCGATATACTGGGTACTTAAAAAAAAATATATGCGAGGGCTTTTTTTTTTTTTTACCAGATTAATGTGATGATTTTAAAGTTTAGGCCATTATATGATAAAATAATAAAATAAATAGTTTATGCTTATTGCTTACGTCAGACATGCGAAAAACATACACCGAATTCCCATAGTATAATGGACGGCATGAATTAACACAGCTCATTTGTTTGACAAATAGTAAGAAAAATTACATAAAAGTTCCATGAAGCAAGCTTATTTATTAATAAATTCCATGAAATTTGGTAACCACAGCCAGGCCTTCTATATGTAATTTAAAATTAAGCTACAAAGACAATAATATCCCTATTAAATATATATTACACCAATTAAATAATTAATTTATAACTACTTCATCAGTAATTTATAAATATAATTTCAACATTTTATAACTGTAACTTCATATATCAAATAGTTAAATAATCATGTGTTACTAACAAAATTTAACATTAATTTTTTACAACTACTTTATCAATAATTTACAATTATAAATTTAACTTTTTACAACCGTAACTTCATATATGTAATATAGTTAGACTGATTTGTTTAGTGGATTAAGGTGCATTTTTACTTTTAAAATTTTTCACTAGGAGCAATTTTATTTTGTATAATAAGTGGGGTAATTTTATACCCTTGAACTATTTTTTTCAAGGAGGCCAAGCACCCTGTAAAAGGGGTTTTTTGCTCTTCGAATGAATAGTTCAAGAGTAAAATTGACCCACTCATCAGCACAAAGGTAAAATTGCTTATCGAGAAAAAGTTTAAAGGTAAAATTACACCTTAACCCTAGTTTAATTATTAGATATGTTATAATTGTAAAAAATTAATTTATAGTTGTAAATGACTGATGAAATAGTTATAAATTATTTAACTAATATAATGTGTTTAATAGGGGTGTTATTGTTTTTTATCCCAATTTTAAATCACACTTAGGTTCCCATGGATTTAATTATGATTTTTGAATTTCATGG